AGTGGTGCATCAGTAAAGTGATGACGCCATGCTACTCTTCTCTGTACACGAATAGAGAAAAAAAAGTCATGTTGAAAAGTGATAATCAGTAACAGGAGAATGAAACTGGCCTTCCATGTGGAAACGAGACAAGAAAAAATGAGTGAACCTTTTGACGACACCCTGGAAAATATCATCCTTATGAATACAGATTAAATACAGTATATATATACCAACTGTACTTTCGTTGAGAAGTGACAATTTCACTGAGATACTGATTCCGTTATATATATCGGGAATCGGCCATTGGATCAGTTTCCAGTGGCTGAATTGTCTACGAGGTTGTCTTTGAACCTGAAGACCCTGGGTTCGAACCCCAGTAATGGATACGTACTGATGAAGAGTCCCAAACAAGGACGAAATAGCTATCCAAGACTGTCTCCCTGGTTTTCCAATGGTTATCTAACTGATGTCATCTAGTGATCAAACCTGATACCCAAAGCCCCCATGAAGAATATGAACTCATGACAGTGAGTCAAACCTACAAAAATGTTTCCAATCTAGAATAAAACGGTATTTAACTGGAGAAAAAGAAGAAAGATTGATTGATTCGAGCTTCATTCACATTCAGAAGCAAAAAAGCAGGCACTTCACCACTAACTACTATTATCAATGTGGTTATGCAACATTTTTGACCTCGAAACAAGATAGAAAGAGAAATAAAAGTGGGGAAAGACATCCAAGTCTCAACTGAAGTGAATTACAAAGAAATTACCAGAATGATGAAGAATGCAAGGTAAGGTAAAGCAAAGTAGAGGAAAAAGAGATGATTAAATGAATGAAACTTATTCAAAATACAAAAATAAATTTTGTTTTGTATTAGATATTATTTTTTTCCTCTCCAGTGTTTCCTTCTCCTTCTTCTTCTTCTTCTACCAACCGATAATTGTCTCCTAACAAGGTTTATTATTCGTTCTAGCTATCGGAGAAAAAAACAAGCACAACTGAGAATACACAATACAGGAAAGCAGGAGCAAATGGAAAAGGAGAAAATAAACGAACTCGAACAACAACAACAACAACAAGGTTTCCCCTGTGTGTGGTTGTGTGAGAGTCAGAGAGACAGTGCGTAGGTAGAAATGTGATTCAATAAGCCTATATGAGCAGTTGGTGAGATACGAACAATAACGAGTGGAATACAGTCTACTCATCACCCACCCAACCACACACACACACGTACACAACGCCGCAGTAGTTCTAGAAACTGGACGGACAGTAAAAAAAGAGTCAAGAGACTGCTAATGCTACTACTACTACTATTACTAACCACCAGTTTCCGATGTCATTCATTCTCTCGTGGATAAACTAGAAATTGAGGTGAATAGTGAGTGTGTTCGAAAACACCGGGGGTGAGGGGGCTGATGCGAGGCGGCAGAAATACTCGAGCCAGTAATGGAAAGGGGGGGTTGGTAAGTGTAAAGAAAACTGGATACAGAGAAATGTTATATAATTCACCTGTTTCGGTTTTTTGGAACAGAACAAAGATAATAATAATAATAATAATGTGCATGAAAAAGTCAAAACAAACTCACAGAAAGACGATAATGAGGGATAAAAGCAAACTGACTGATTAGATGAGGTAAGTCATTTCAGGTTTAGGAGAACAGAGAGAGAGAGAGAGTGAGAAAGGGAGGAGTGATGGCGGCGGGGGAGGGAGGAGTAGAACTAGGGAAGCGCATGAGGGGATGAAAATGTTCGCACACACATACAGTGGTGATACAATGTTTGAGTGTGGTTTGCGCGTGTACCTAAGTGACACAATCAGTGAAAAAAATCATTGCATAAGAGGAGAGAAAGACAAAAGCAAAACAGAATCTCTTTAAAGGATAATAAACATTGTGTCACTAGTCATGAGAATGAGTACTACACAACAACAACAACAAGAGGATATTTGTTATGTTCGGAGATATTGTAGAGTTGTATTGATTCACCCATTAATTGATAGATAGATAGATAGATAGATTGATTGGGAGACTAATTTTAAGACAAGAAAACAACTTCAGTTGAACAAGAAATAGCATTGAAAGCTTTTGCATCAAAAAGACTTTATTCATGCATGCGTGTGCGTGTAGAGGAAGTTATGGGTTTATTTTTGTTGTTGTGTAGATCTGGATTAATTCTATTGTAGACTACAACATTGGTTCTTAGCATCCTGAGGATCCCAACCAGGAAGCCTACAACACCTCCCTACGTAACTGACTCAAACCAACTTGTCAAAGACCTTATGGACTGATGACAGGTTTGAGTATGACCACCACTACCTATTTTCTAACTTATTCCTGTGGCAGCTAACATTGTTCGTCGAGGAAGGCGATGGCTCAGCATGTCCGATGCGTGTCCTGGCCATCTCAGTCGATTGACTCACTCTCCTTACCTAACATCACTCCCACTAACTGTATTATACCATTTAACACAGGAGATATAACCCAGACACCTATGATCAAAGATAGCTAACCTTATCATATCTCCACTTTCAAAGTCCGTGTCTCACGGCCATGAAAGAGAACGAAACGAATTGCTGCGTAGTGCACACGTCCTTTAATGGATAGCCAGATATCATAGCTACACCAGAGATGACGTAAGTTGGTGAATACCACCCAAGACCTCATCAGGGAATGAAACTGGGACATTCAGACTATGAGACCAGAATGAATATAACCAATTGAGGAGAAAAAACAAAGCTAATAAATAGTGTTTATGTGATAGATTGTATGATGAAACAACGTCAGTTAGAGAACCAATGAAAATCAAGCTGATGGTGGTGGGGGAATGTATGATGAAAAAGACGGAGAACTTACAATACGGAAGTCTCGAAATTTTTTCGGTTGATTTTTCTTCTTACCAGAAGAACAAGCTGACGGATGAGCTGGTGTAGCGAATGAACAATTGGCTGAACAAAATAAAATAAAAAAAGAAACAAAGTCAAGAAAAAGATTACATTAACACGTCCATCTACAAATTTTTAAAAAATTATTAAGAAAATTCTTGATATGGTTGCATTCTCTGAGCTGGATGACTTTTAAATGGGGAAGTGCTTTCATACTGTCTTTGTAGACAACACGTCTTCAGAGCAAACTTCAATAATGAAAATTAATTAAAATCCAAGTAGAGTGTGTGTTTCCCAATTAGTAACAATGCTTGATTATTTAAACATCTGTTACTCTACAAAACACAAAAGTTCGTAATGCTGGACAACACATCACTATTGAATCTTAACGTAGAACTTGAAATACTCAGTCACAAGTGGATACACAAACACATAGGGGAAACTTACAGTAACAACAAGCCTCAGTAGAGGTCACCATTGAAAATTAAGGCGTATACCTGACAACTGTTTCTTTCATTCCAATACAGGACTCTTCAGCAGCACACCAGCACGTATAGGACCAAAGAACTTCAGGTTACCACACCATTCAGCTGTTGCTGGGACCGAATGCAATGGCCTACGGATCCTAACTTAGTTATGCCGATTTGTGACATACAGGGCAACAACCAGTCGATAAAGTAGTCATAGGAGTGTATTACAACAGAAGTATCCCAGACTAAGACCAAACAGCTGTTCAGTACCCTATGGATTTCAATTGCTCTCTCTCTCTCTCACTCACTGATGCTGATTCGTCATTAAACTTCAAATTGTAAAATAAGACTTGAGAATAAAATAATTTCACCCATGTGAAAAATCTTCTAAGCTCACTACACACTGAAGTTGGTGTTGAAGATGTCCAAAAGAACAATAAAAACCTCACCCATTTAGCTCAGAGAAGGCAACAAGGAAGGCATTTACCCGAGTTACAAATCTTCCCAAGTATATATATATATATATCTGAAGGTTTTGAAGCCTATGCATAAGAAATCTTAGAATTTCATTTGTGAAATTGGTTCACTCTAAATCGACTATCTTTACGTTAGCCCACAAAAGGGATTTTGTCTGCGATCAGTCCATTAGAGTTGATGTAACTTTTCAAATAAGTGATGTGGTCAACACGTTCCACTCCTTGTCGTCTTTAAACTAGAAGATGGTGGCCTTCCAGTCCTGTAGTATTATCTTATATTTGACAGGAGTGAATCATATATGCCCAACATACTAAGATTTCTGCTCAAGGTGTTCGGATGACTGCACTTTATCAGTGTCCACATACTCCAAATCAATAAGATTGTCTTCAGGCAATAAGTCAATCGCTATGCCACTAAAGTCAGTTAGGGCTGATTCCATTAGTATATCTATGATGAAGTCAAACAAAAATGGGAGACAAATGACGTCCTGGACGGACACTATTGGTTGTCATCATCACAGATGACAACTCCCCATGAGTTCTTATATAGCTGCGTGAGTTCGAGTAGAGTACCTTGATTAAAGCAATGTATTTTCTCAACGCTCCATTCACGGCCAGACACTGCCACAGCACCTCTCGGTCGATGGAGTCAAATGTCACCTCCGGATAAAAAATATGACAAGTGTTGGACTCCGATAGGTATGCCTATTTTCGAGAACCTGTCAAAGGGTGAATATATGAACAATACACCCTCTTCCTGGCCTAAAGCTGTCTAGTTTTCTCGTGTTTGTTTCTCCCGAGCACCACTTAATCTGCACATGATTACTGGAGCTAGGACTTTAGACATTATATTAGTTAAGCTTATCCCCCCCCTATGATTATCACAGGAAGCCTTGTCTTGATTCTTAAGAGCTGGGATAATCAGTGACTTAAACCAGCCTCACGGAACTACCTCTGACTACCAGGAATTACCTGATATCTTAGTTAGCCCATACATCCGTTCATCACCAACGTCCTTTAACACCACTGGAGTCATTCCACCAGATCCTGCTGCTTTGCTTTGTTTCAGATTAGGAACAGCCTTTGAACTCTCAGTTAGTGATGGAAAACCGTTGTCTGCATCGCAGTCAGGTAGATGTTGGATGCTGGGCACTTGGCTTGAATTGCCTGCTTCTTCTTCTTCTTTTGTCTCATGATATTCTAGAAACTTTCAAAATGGATTTCTTCACAAGCCAACATCAGTTGGCGGGGGGGGGGGGTAGTGTCCTAGTTTCACGGCTTAACAGCGGTACACGCACACATGACCCCTAGCAGAATTAAACACAAACCCTTCAAGTTACGAGGTAAGCGCACATTACGATTCAGTCACTGTTGGATTGAAATAATCCATGAATACACACTCACATGATTCGAGGTTCTGTCCGATTTCCGGTCAATGTACGCCTAAATCTCACTAAGCCAGTAGTAAGGCACGTATGAAGAGAGGTGGCTGGGCGTGAGGCTATATCCTCTTCACTCCGTAAAAGACAGACAGCACTGCTACTGGAACTTTACACCTCAAATTTGAAGCATTATGTTCCATTCGGAACAAAGAGAAATAAAATAAATAAATAATAATGATGACATTACCATCATCTCTTTCTTCCCACTTTGATTACCTGTGCTGTTTTAGTACTACTGTGGCATGTGCTACTGATAAGATTTATCAGTAGTATATAAAGAGATGTTCACCTGCATAAAAACATCGAACAGCACGGAGATAGATTTGATGTCAGAGAAGGCAAATGATACAACGTCGCAGAGATACATGGGAGACGACGTGAAAGGAAGACAAAGAAACACAATATGTGAAGGAAGGCCAGAAGTAGCACAATACAGAAGATCTGTGCCAGTAGTGGTGATTTGACGATAAGGGTGTACATAATTCAGCTGTGTATAGAGATACCAAATTCCAAATAAACATTCCTTTACTAAATCTCTCGTCGTCTTCTACCGTTACACTACGTCTCACGGTGATAAACTCAAGTGTTTTTCTCACGTTGAATACTTCTCAAGATGATTGACTAACAGTTTAGTGAGTAAAAAGTAATTAAGTAAATGACTAAATAAATAAATAAATGAATAATCAAAACGCACCTTCTGATAGCTCAGAATCTGGTTCAGATTTAACTGAAATGTACACATCATCTGTATCAGTGAGGGAAATACTGTTATTCTCATTCGACTGAAATATTGACGATTGTTGTTGTTGTTGCTGCTGCTGGTGTTGTAGCGTTTTTCTACGTTTCTTAGACTTAGTATTTACCTATGGCAACAAAAATAATAAAAAAACTCAACATAAGAATGCATGAAATGAGTCGCTTTATAATCAGTCCCTCAACTATCTAACTAACTCTCTTTCTATGAACTGTGATCAAGATTTGACCGGATAGTTGCAAAATAATTGAGCGCCGAGTGAGAAGTAGACATTTATAAAGTTATATTTTTTACGAGTTGATCACGGACTGATATCAGTTAGAGAACCATTGAAAACCAGCCAGGGAGTACTGGACAGCTGCTGTTTCATCCTAGTTTGGGAATCATCGGCAGTACGCACCCACAGCCAAGGTTCGAACCCAGGACCTTCCGGTTACAAGGCAAGCTAGCTCATATACCATTCAGCCACTGGGACCCGATTCAATGGCCAACGTATGAATTCTAACTTCTACCAATTCGTGATTTAGCGCGACCCCAACCATTGTCGTTGGTGGGACATCCATCCACACACGTGACATCTAATTGGACCTCACTGGTCAAATTTTGATCACAGTTCATACAATTTTGTTTATTATACATGTTGATGCCTGTTTCATGGCTCATGATTGGACAAAGTTTCAAAAACAAGAGATGTTCCTTTTATATATAAACCTCTGTTGTGTTAATTTCGATTAATTTCCCTGAAGAAGTTCGGACCAGATTGCCGAATGTAGGAAACGTTGGAATTAATCATTTCAATTTCACTGAGATTTTACAAATATAATTTTATAAATGTTAACTCTCTTCCTCTCTCTCACACACACACACTCGAACACTATAGCTGAAGTGAGTGTGATTGTGGGGGGGGGCACGCAGGATGAAAGCAGACTGTGCTAGACAATCCTGTTGAGAGCAGCTATTTATTTATTGTAGGATTTCATACCGCTTAAATGTATTTAACAGTAGAGGGTATTAAACTACTTGAGATTTTTTTAAGCATACCTACTTCACTATTATACTTTCAGACATCTTATGGCTGGTTTTCAAGCACAGCTCTACACACACACACACACACACACACAACAGAAAAGCAGTTCCCATTAGCTAGAAAAAGCATGATTCACATAACAACAATGCTTTTTTCCACATGATGATAAGAAAATAAAGATGTTAAGATATGATTCTGCGAAAACTCTACCTAAATAAATAAAATAAATTACATTATGATCATTTAAATTGTGAAAAACGACACGATAAGATTTCCAATGAGATCAACAAATATCTCCATCCTTTTAGGGTGGTGTTACATACAGTGAATGGTTGTCATCCTTTGTAAATAGCATGAACAACAAATAGGTAAACAGTAGGAAAGTCAATCGATGAGGTTATGAAGTTGTGTATCGATTGAGATGGCTAAGACACGCATTGCTCCATTCTAATCCAACGCCATCCTAGAAGGGCGATGTTGGTGGTTAACACAGGATTAAATTGGGTGGTTACACTAACACCTAGCATCATCCCATGAATTCTTTGACAGTTGGTTTCAGCCGCGTAGGGAGGTGTCGATTGCTTGATTTGCGTCATCGGGATGTTAAGAATCAAATGGCTTGAGACTATTGGTGATATGGTTCAAAACCGTTTTCAGTAATACAGATGCGTACACACTGTTTGCGATCGCCCAGATCTATTTAACACTCATATTTTCGCATGTTATTATTCTTTCTCCCATAGATTTCTGTTCATTGTACTTCTTTTGAATCTCTTTTTTCTCGCTTTGTGTGCTACTTGGAGTGTGGCAACTTGAGCTGATACACTTTTTGTGCAAAGTTCTACATTGTAACTCAATCAATCAATCATTTTACACAAGCCAAGCTATCGCCTTCTTCGTGGAGTAATGTTCTTTGACTAACATAGGATTACTGAATGACTGGTTTCAACGTAGAACTTTGTACCGATGTGCAGCAGTGTTCGAGTTGCCACACTTCACCGACCGATAGCTGCTACCTTGACGTCGGGCTTGCATATCGCAATGACTCAACAAGCTACACTGGCTGGAACTATTGTTCCTGCAGGTCCTACTATGCCAGGAAGATTGTTAGGATAGCGATTAGACTAAAAGCAGTTACCGGTATAGTGTAAGAATTTCTTTTTACGCTATGTTGGGGGTCTGTGGGTGAAGTCGTACTGTTGGGGAATAGGGATGTAACAGCAGTAAGGTGTTTCCCTCAGATGACCAGCATGTCAGCTATGCTGTCTCTCCACTCTGAAGAGAGGGGGTTAGAAAAGGTTGACCCCAAAAATTTTACATCCCGGACTTACCCTACGGTGGTCCGAAGCTGACGGTAAGTTACTAATACGGAATCAAACCAAAAAGCCAGTTCAAACAGGCCATGTGTGACTAGCCTCAAGCAGTTGTTCCCTGGGCTCTGCGGTCACGCAACACTAATTCTCCTTCTGTTTCAGGTACCCCAGGAAAAAATCAACTTCCACGGTGTGGGCAGCCAGGAATAACAACCGCCCACACACTTCCAAAAGCACGCGAAGCCCTCCAGAACATAGAATTAGGTAAGAAAAGAGTCAGCGTTGGTCAAATCAAAAGTTTGCATCAGTCCTCTGTTAATTTGAACCACGTATGAGGTAGATGTACACTATCTGATGCCTACAAGACGTCAAGGTCCAATGACTTGAGATTGTTAGTGATACGGCACCCAAAATCGTTCACAACGGCTCAAATGCATTTACTCATTGTAATGTTCCAGGTCCATTAAGCCTCCAATGATAAGACAATCTTAAAAAGATATTCGAGTTTAATATTAGTATAGTGTGACAACAAAAATGGCATTTGAGGCATACCAAGTAAGCCCACAACTCCCACACAATGGAGTCCAGATTTCATATTCCCTTCTGGCTAATTTGAACGGAAATACTCATATCAAACAGAGTAAGTTTACTGTAGAGAAATGACGTTTTCATAAGAGATACTGCAAAGCAATAGCCTTTCTCTATAATTCTCTCTCTCTCTCTCTGTGATTATTATTATTGTAGACATTCTAAATTAAACTTTTAATGCGGTCTTCAATAATATCAGACAGACAACTAAGGCATAAAATCATGACTAATCATCATCATCATCAGAGGAAGTTGGGAAAAAAGGTCATCCCCAATAGACAGAAATGAATAACATTACTTCATAGGCATTATTACCATAGTCTAGACACACATATGTAATATGGGCATAGGCATTATCAGCAGAGAAGGGAACAAGTTAACCTAGACGCAAATGTTACTTTTTCTCCCATTGGCATGCTTTAAGTAAAAAGATTATTTGTTGAATTAGATCCCTCAGGTGGGGGAAGCGCATGCAATAATGATTATTCATCTTTTCAGCTTAACATATGTCTAACACATGTGTAACAAATAAATGATGGTAAGAATTTAGTGATTACGAATTTTAGCCAATATGATGGTGGTGGTTGAGTGACTATTCCACATCAGGCAATGAACGATTTACTTGTTATATGTATATATAAGAGATAGAAAGAGGTGATTCGGAAACTGGTATAAAATTCGGATAGTTGCGTATAATTACAACCGTAAGATTTTCATCACGAGGTTAGAGAAAGATCACTGAAAATCTAGGAGTACTGGAGAGACAGCTGTTTCGTCCTATTCTTGGACTCTTCAGGAGTACGCACCCACGAACCTCCCATCCAGGTTACAAGAGGAAGCTCATTGACCATTCAGCCAATTGGGATGGAATTCAATGACCCTTGAATTCTAACTTTGTGTATAACACATTTCTAATTGTACTTAGATCAAACAAGCTACATTTGATATTGAATTAAGAACAGTCAACGACAACAACAATGAGGCTATGTCCTGTAATCAAAAGGATCCATCCAGTGAGTCTCGGGTTGGAACCCCGCTCCAGCTACCAAGGTTTCGGCAGCTAGGTAGTAAATATTACTAGCTGCCAAACAACAATAGGCATGGTTCATTGACAACTAACTGTACATGGTGGTTGAGTAACATTCCAACAAGACACTTATCTGAGGAGTTGACAGCCATACTATTGCTAAACTGGACGCCAAAAAAAAAACAATTTCCAAAACGTCCAATCAACAATGACTCATAAACTATTTGTTTTTAATTAAGTTTTGATTTTTCCGTTGAAATTGATTAAAGAGAAATGTTCGACCTCGGCTGACATATATTTGGGCCCTTAGTACGGACACTGAGACAATGTCTGACAACCAACTTGAAGTAATTCTGGTGGACGGTGACTAGCAGTGGGACCCAGGGTACACATTTCGTTCTATTTGGGGCTCGTCAGCTGGATGTGCATAACATTCCCAGTGAGAGGCCAAGGATTTCGGCCAAACGCTTTGGTATTTGAGACGATGGGTACTGGGTTTCAGTCTCGGTGGAAACATCAATCTCTCACTGGGAATGATGCAGTTACATCCAGCTAACGATGGATACTATATAGGACTAAATGCGTATCCTATATTTTCGCTGCTAGTCACCATCCATCGAAATTACTATAGGAGTTTCATAAAGTTTAAATGAAACAAAAAAAGAAGCTAAAAGTCAACAGTTTCACACAGATTTCTCGAAATTCGGTCTAAGGCCACTTCGCTCGTTCACAAACGAGCTCATCGCCAGTATTCACACTGATTAGTTCAGCTTACAGAGCTGAACCAGTTGAAATTACCAGAACTCTTCGTTAAATGATGTACTCGGGTGATAAACAAAAGCGAATTTTCAATTTACAAATTGCACAGTTCGACACAAAAATTCATTATACTTTTCTGTGCGATTTACAAGTTTGGTTTGGTTTAGAAGTATTTTAAAAAAGATCTTAGTACAACAGCATGGGTTACAATTAATGTAGCATACAAAATAATTTAACAAGAGGATATGAAGAGAAGCAGGTGTCGGTGGCACAGAGGTAGAATGGTCGCCAACCACGCTTCATGTGGTCCGGGGCTCGATCCCCGGCCACTGACGCACTCCTTTACACCTCACTAAGTCAGTAATAAGACTGGTAAAGAGGGAAGGTTCTGCATGAGGCTAGCAACCTCATCCAGTAAAACCAAACACCACTGCTATCAAAACTTCAAAGTCCTGGCTTGAAGCCCTATGTCCCACCACTGGGAAAGTAAAGGAATAAAATTTTAAAGGATTATAATAAAATAATGAAGAGAAGCAATGAACAATTTACAAAAAGATAACAAAAGTTCTTAAAAGATACATCTCCAAGTAAGCGTAAGTTAATTAGACCACTTTACAACAGTAGAAAAGAAGGCACAAGAAAGGACGAATCGGCTTTCAATCTGAACGACATTTTAAAACGGCTCAAAATAGGAAGTCAGTGATATAACAGTGCATACGAAACTCAACGCTATTAACCTTCACGTAAAACTGGTCTTTTAAAACAACTTATTGCTGCTTTTGGGAGAAGAATTTCAGAACAAACAGAACACACTTGTGGAAATATTTCGCCTACGCGTTGTCAAACAACTTATTGACTAGGAAAATGCAATCTACCGGTAACTACACATATCACAGGTCAGATAGCAAGAAAAGGTGAGCAACAAGGACCTCTCTCTACTGGGCAACTAACCCGACCAAGAACCTATTGCTTAACAAATGCATGCCTAAAGAAATGAAGATGGATTAGAGAACACATTGAATGATGTCACGTACCAGGCCATTGTTCTAGTGGAACCGGAATGGGAAAAGACCAGATGGCCATCCGACGGTGACATAGAGGAGATCGTGTAAGGAGGCAATGAAAGCTTACGACCAATGGTGGAGTCAGCTAAAAATAACAGAGCTAAGAGCTGAGGTGTGCTGATGAAACCCTGTGTTCCATCAAAAAGGGAATGGATTACAACAACAATATACACAACATAAAAATGAAGTTGTATACATAAATATCTTTGTCAGTAACAGCTTAACAGTGATTTAAATTAATGCTAAATTATCTTATTGAATATTATATAAATCCACTTACTTTTTCATTGCATAGAAGCATAATATCATCATTATTGTAATTAGGAATTGATGATTTTTTAATACATTCTGCACTATAAGGTCGTTTCAATTCATCAGTGGATTGATTTCGTAAAGGTGTCTCATCAAATTTGATGACCACTTGATCAGCTATAAATAACGATAATCAATGAAAGAAGATCAGGTAACATAAAAATTATATATATATATATATATATATATATATATATACAATGGAACAATGAACTTGTACATATCTTTGAAGCCTGTATGACTGATGCAATCAAAAAGGGGAGTGAGTTTCAATGAGGGATGATAGACGCTATAAGAGACCAAGATATGATAATAATTTTATTACAGGATTGAACACGAGTTGACATCAGTCAGAGAACCATTGAAAAAACAGGGAATACTGGACATAGATGGGACCCACCCAGCCACCCATCCATTAGGGCTCGGACCCAGGACATTTCGGTTACAAAGTAAATCTTTTAGATCACTCAGCTACTTGGATGCGCGACTTTGTCATGCTAAAATTACGATTTATTAGAAGTTAGGAAACACAGACTGGTCATTGAGTCAGGTCACAATGGCTGAATGGTTGCACGAGTTCGCTTCGTGACCAGAATGTCCTAGGTTTGAACTCCGTTGGTGGGTGCGTACTGATGAGGAGTCTCACATTGAGGCGAAACGGTGGAGTGGATTTTATTGATTCTTTAACTGATATCAACTAGCGATCAAACTTGAAACCAATCAAATCCCTGTGAACTAACAGCTGATAATTTATTCATTAAAAGCGCACCTAGTGCAGTACATTCGGGACGGTAAAAACCAATGAAGGCTGGAAACACCTGGCGACATGGCTCAAAGCCATCGTTCTTTCAATGGCTGGCGCAGATGCATCCACTCCTTGTGACTTATAATACCTAATGAAACTATATTGCTCTTCGTTATTACTATTCCTTTGGTCTCATATCGGTGCCAAGTTCTATGTTGAAAACAAACAGACAGACAGAGCAGTTAACAAAGAAATTATGTAGTAATAGATAGTTGGAGGCAATCGACAGGAAGCCCAATCTGACCAAGGTTTCGTGCTAGTTGGCACTCACCAGTCAGCAAGGCATATCTGCAAACCTTGAAGGAACTCATGTCCCACCTGAGATTCGAATCCGAGTCACCCATTGCTGCAGTCAGAGACGTTACTACTGAGCGGCTATTCAGACTCACGATTAACCTCCTTTAGGACTGTATTGGATACTTTTGATTGGACACTAATTAGTCACTAGTGTAGCATGTCTAGTCCTTTGACTGCAGCACTGGGTGGTGCGGGTTCGAATATCAGAAGGGAAATGAGTTCCTTCAAGGTTGCAGATGTCTTTCGTAACTGGCAAACAACTTGAACATTAATTCTGACGATGTATTAGATGGACGTTGCAGATGAAGCACACACAGTGAATGCTACGGAAGCTTTTTTTCCATTTTGCATCAAAAATACAGTTCTTCGTTCTGATGACTTCATAATACTCGGTTCTGGCGATTGTGAAGATAATTTACCTACATAACACATGGTAGATTTTGATCCCAACTCACAAACGAGACATGCACAATAACAATAGTAGTAACAAGTGGAACTCAGTTGCCTCGTCAATCATCACCTGTCTCCCAGTAGGAGAACTTGAATATACTGACCAGTTGATGTATTTCTGACGTCAGATGGCATAATGTTTGTACCACAGCGGGTGAGGGGGGAGCATTGCTCAATAGGTGATTCATATTTGTAGACTATATGTTCCCAATGTCACCATCCAAAGGTCTTCACAATACCATTGACTGTTTCCTAGTCTCAAAACTGTTTAGAAAAGGGTAGAGATGCGATTAATGCATCCCATGAGGTTACTGAATGAAAGACACTTGATTTGGGTTATTATTTGTACTGCAGATTACAAATATCCGGATGAACTCTCCAAGATATTATTCGACTCGTTGAGCTGACTGAAATGGCTCAGAATCAGTTAGCCTGCTTCTGATGCCACCGGAATTTCTATGACGTAGTAAATGTTTCTTTGAATTATATTTGGTCGTTAAGTTTACCAGTTTTCATATTATAGTTCAGTTATTTTTTGTGGCGTACACGTCTGGTCTACTTTCTATGACAAAGTTTGTATTCAAATTAATGGGGAAAAATTAACAACTTATAGTATCGTATCGTATTACACTTACACATAGTTGAAATGTCAGTAGTCTCAGTCAACGATTGGTCTGTATCACCATTTTGTACAGAATTTGACATATTCACATATGACGGTTCAGGAGGTACGAGAGGTTGTGAACATGGTAATTTTAGAAGTGTCAACAGCTGTTTACATGGAGAGAAATAAAAAGAAGAGAAGACAGTATTTTTAATTGATAGTTACTAAGATAAAGAAAAATAACGATGGTGTACACAAACTGATTGTCAGAAACGAAAATTGGAGAAATTGTAACCATTTTTACTAGAACAACTGATACGATGAAAAGTGGAACTTGGATACAACTATGATTTTAAATAGCTTCATTTTCTATGAGATAGTTTAGTATGTGGAGATGTAACTCATTGGCTTAAGAGCTCAACTTTCAGCCAATTGCCCACAAGTTCGAGTCCTGGTCCAATTGGGTAGTGCCATTAGCCTTCATGGCTTTTAGCTTACTACATGAAAGATCTTTTTCGGGTAACTGAGTCCGAACATCAACGTGAATTAGAAGATAATCGTAGACGGTGGACGGCTCAACATCTACTCCGATTTTATCTACAACTTCTCCACAGTACATATGCGGAAGCAAACCTAAAATAGCCACCCTTAAAGACAACCACGTCGCTTTTCATCGAATAAGCTGCAACATAATGATTCAGGATATATAACTCCAACATAACACAACAGCTGCGGTGGATACCGATTCACATACGAGACCTAGTCGAAACTACAAGTCGCAAATATCTGATGCGAGTCCGCATATAGCACGAGACAGACATCCAATGCTCCCTAGCTTTTCTTTGTGTCTTTCGGACTAAGTCGAATTTGTGATGAAACCTGACTTGAATTTAATGCTAAAAGAGAGAAGTAAAAAAGAGTACGGTAATAATCCAGTCACGAATAGGTCGTTGAAAAAGTTGCCCTTCGATGAATATCCTTCGTTCTACAGAATAAACAATTAAATGTTTCTTTACTTTCTTATGTTACGCAGTAACATGAGATGAGCAATTTGGCCTCATTCAGATGGTTAAATGTCAATAGAAATGTCACCCGACAGGCATTTTGATTCCCTTGCACTGGGCAATGAGCAACACTTATGGCGAGAAGGCTAATGATACTTACTATCAGGTTGCTCAAACTCACCAGGAGTTGGTGGATAAGGTTTCAAACCCCCAAAACTCTGTAGTTAGAAGTTGGATTCCTAAATTGGTAAGCCACAGCTCCAATGCATTGGAAAGGTCTCAATCCCGAAACATACCAGTTAAACAGGAATTACTTAATACCCCAAAGGTTGCAGCATCGAAAGAAACTGGAAATGTTTAGCTAACAAGGAAGCTTGTGTAGCATGTCTGTATTCCTGATCAAGCTGCGAGATGGTTATCATGTTTTTCCTGAGTTTAAGTATACAGCTAAGCCTTAAAGTAAACTTTTCACAATCCATTCATTCCAGTCAAAGCATAAAAAAGCACAATCATTATAATCACAAGATGTTAAACAAATTCACAGAAAAAATCGATCGAAAAGTTTATTTACACAATGATGAAAGGGTTATTGAGTTATTCTCTAGTCATAACAAACTAATGGTTAATCAGTTAATGAGGTTATATGCAATGAATCCTAAAATGTAAATAATTTCTTGAAATTTTTCACCAGTGTGGTATTGTTTAAACCGATCAAGTATCATTTTCTCCTTATATTATCACTTAACGCGTCGAGGTACGCTTCAATATCATCAATGATAATTATTCATCCCTTGCATCCCGAGTGGAATATAGGGTTTCAGCCGCGCATTTCAACTACACTCAGTTTGTTACCAGCACTTTCAACTCACTCTATGACTTTAATTGACTTTTAGATTTTCCCGTCGATTGATTGCACCGAAGTGCTCGGTCTCAGGTTGACATGTCGGCTCCTTGTGTAGATGCTTCGACGATGCCTGGACATTTAATTAGAATTGAATTGGTGGATGGTGACTAGCAGTGGAATCCAGGATGCGCACTTCGTCCTATTTGGGACTCGTCATATGGATGTACCTGCATTCCCCAGTGAGTGATGATGTTGCACAAGAGGTGGCTCTCGTGGCCCAAGTGGTCTAGTGGATAACGCTTTGGCATTTGAAACTACGGGCACTGGGTTCGAGCCTCGGTGGGAACATCATCACTCACTGGGAAATGTAGGTACATCCATATGACGAGTCCCAAATAGGACGAAATTCACATCCTGGATTCCACTGCTAGTCGCCATCCACCAATTAACTCTATGACTGTCTGAAAGCTTTTACTCCTCTGTCACCCTGGGATGCCCGACCCATCATTTGCCGTTCGAGTTCCACTGGAGCGCTTGGTGTATAATGTCACACGACAACATAAATATGACAACTTTTGGTAACATCTGTAGCCTACCTCAACAATCTATTTTGGTACAGGTATGATTGGACTGGAGGAAAGTATTCGATACTCAGACCAAGATGTAGTACTAATCACTGAGGTGATAAATATCCTTGTTGTGAACACTTTACACGAGTGCAGGTTACTTGGAAAGAGTCCATCTGAAAACTCGGATCAATGACTACTGGAAAGTGTTAGTAGATGTACTTACACCTTATCTTCATCTTAATTGAAATTTTTTCTTCCCTTCCTGTGTCTTCTGGTGTTCTACGAACCTCTACTATTCACTTTAATTCAATTTAGATTTTCCTGTCGATTGATCGGAGCCAAAGTACTCGGTCTCAGGTTGACATGTTGGCGCCTTGTGCAGATGTTTCGACAATGTCTGTTCATGTAACTTGAAGTCAATTGATGGATGTTGACTAGCAGTGGAATCCAGGATGCGCATTTCGTCCTATTTGGGACTCTTCGTCTGGATGTACCTGCATTTCCCAGTGAGTAATGATGTTCCCACAGAAGCTCGAACTCAGTAATGCCCATATTTTCAAACGCCAAAGCGTTATCCATTAGACCACTTGGGCCACGAAAGTCACCTCTTGTTTAACGGGTCTTATTAATTATTTAATTCAATTCAGGTTTTCCCGTTGATTGATTGGACCGAAGTGTTTGGTCTCGTGGCCCAAGTAGGTAACGCTTTGGCGTTTGAAACTATGGGCACTGGGTTAGAGCCTCGGTACGAGCACCATCACTCACTGGGGAATGCAAGTACGTTTAGTGACGGGTCCCAAATAGGAGGAAATGCGCATCCTGGATTTCATTGTTAGTCACCATTTACCAATTGACTTCACTTTACTGTATAACTTTTAGTACTCTCACCTCAGTGTGTATATCTAAGATGTCGCGGCATTGCCAGGACTTATGTTACTATATCTCAGATACGCTGGAGACTTTACATGTTCAGGATTATGAGTCAGACATGTTGATTGATGGAAGTCTAACGACACTATCCACCTACATAGACTGAAGTAGGTGAAGTAGGATTCGAACTCAAGACCCACCAAGTCAAAATCGAGTGTTTTAGACACTGGAGTCATCTATCCATCAAAGCAACTGCTTGTTCATCTACTTAACACCTACACTTTAAGAGAGATTAACTCATGTGTTCATTCAATCATGAAGTGAATGATAATCACACAGATATGACGTAGTTAATGTAGACCACTAGTATAATCCAAACAACAAAATGGAGTACACTGATATTTTACGACCAATGATCACTACAGGAATTCGCGCCTATATTTAATTCGCTTCCAAGATAAACGCTGTACAATTCTTGAAGCAAATGAATGAAAACTATACAGATTTGTTTTCAAGAGTTGGTTTGTGAGGATTAAAGTGTTGTTTTTACGAGTTTGACCACGGATTGTTGTCAGTCAGAGAACCACTGAAAACCAGCCACAGGGAATACTGGACAGCTGTTTCATCCTAGTTTAGGAATCATCGTCAGTACGCACCCACCTCCAGGGTTCGAACCCAGGACCTTCCGGTTACAAGGCAAGCTAGTATACCATTCAGCCACTGGGACCTGATCCAGTGGCCAGTCCATGAATTCTAACTTCTACCAATTCATGATTTAGCGCGACCACCAACCAATGTCATCGGTGGGAAATCCATCCTCACACTTGACTGGTTACGACTCCTCACTAGAACTCTAAGAAACTCCGTCCTGTATGTAGTAAGTCACTAGCGAGCATCAGATTAATTTTCAATGGTTCTCTAACTGATATCAATTTGTGGTCAGACTCGTAAAAACAAACTTAATTCTTACAAACCAACTCTTGAAAATTATTCGGAAATAAAACTTTATCATTATTATTATTTTAAAAAGACCAACTGTGAACAGAATAAACTACTAACATCTCAACATACGACAAAGTTAAATCTGCACATGAGATACCTCATATCGGATTGTAATCATCGCGATGTAGGACAAACACGTGATTTACTGCATATATATATATATATATGACAAGAAAGTAGCCACATCACAGTCAAGAGATTGAACTACTTCAACTTACCTTTTCTATTAACATGCGATTTGGATCTAAAAGTTTATTGTTCAGTTGTTGATCTTCCACACAATCCTGAATATATGTACAAGAAGACAAAAAAAAATAGTTAATAAATCAATAGATAATGCAACAACAACAAAACACAAAATATTTTTACACATTAAACTGGATAAGATTAGAATATATATATATATATATATATTAACTGTCTTACTTAATTCAATTTTAGATTTTTCCATAGATTGATTGGACCCAAAGTACTCAGTCTCAGGTTGACATGTCTGTCGGCTCCTTGTGCAGATACTTCAACGATGTCTAGTCATGTAACTTGAAGTCAACAGGTGGATGGTAACTAGGACTGGAATTCAGAATGCGCACTTCGTCCTGTTCGAGACTCATCACTGGGTGTACCTGCTTTGGCGTTCGAAACTATGGGCATTACTGGGTTCGGTGGGAACACCATCACTCACTGGGGAATGCAGGTGCATCCAGCTGATGACGAGTCCCAAATAGGACGAAATGCGCATCCAGCAATTGTCTTAACTGTCTTAGTTTAATAATGACGGTGTATTTTACTTAACAGAACTTCGGGTGTCTAAAGGAGAATGAATTCTTCGAGATTGTGCAGCCGACAGTCTACTGAAGTGTGTACGAACCATATAAGAGGTTCAGTATTACTCGTGTACAATGCAGGAAAGTGATTTTAAAAGAATTAGGACACTAAATCACTTGCTGTTTAAATTATGAGTCAAATGAAGTAATACTTCCAGTATGAAAATGAATTTTTATATTGGTCAGAACGAAACATGAATTTATTTGGCTTTTGGTTCGATCCATACATAGGAAGACGTACGTTATTTTATTTTGATTACAGCTTGATTCCACACCGTATTTTCAGTACAAGTATGGAATTTTCAGCATGGATATCGGTAGCCCAAATTTTCAGGCCGACCATACATATCGGGTGTGCGCCGGCAGGGGATCGAACCCCGGCGAGAGTCCTAACCACTGTGCCACCGACGCAGATAGTAGATAGTATTATTAGGGGTAGTAAGAATCTCTATTTTCAGGCTTTTGATGAAATGAATTAAAATTATTTACAAGGGAACTGATGCATTAACTCGCTGTTAACACATGCAGATAAATTATGGAAAATATTCAGTGACATCATTTAGTTTTTTAAGTCAATTTTGAATTTCCCGTTGATTGGTTGAATCGAAATGTTCGGCTGCTATAACGGACGCTTTGAAGATGTTAGAGGACTTAGTGGGTAACTCTTCGACATTTTGGAACGATGGGTAGGAGTCTCGCCACCAATCACCAGAGAATGGAGGTACATTCAGTAGACAAGTCCCAAATAGGACGAAATGTACATATGCCCTGAATTCCACGGCTAGTCAACATACACAAAATTAATTCACAGTAACCTTCGTTGAATTACTCTTTCTCCTGTGCATCATCTTTGCCCATTGTAACACTATTATGTTTATTTTCTTCGAAAAGTGGCAAGTAAAGCTGATGCAGTTAGTTCTGTGCACGTCAGTTATAACTGCGGTACGTAAACATAGAAAGTGATCGGTTAGGATAGCAAAAATCAGCTGTCAACAAACATCAATACAGTTTTGTATTTTATTCATAGGATATCATCACAATGAGCAAAAACAACCAGTCCTAATGCTTATGTTTATTTTATTTGAGTTCAATCAGGCAGGACAGATTTCTCATGTCGGGTCATACTACTCAAGTTGTTGAAGTAGACTGAGGTTGGTGAAGCAAGACTAGAACCTGCTACCTATCAACTGATAGTTAAGCATTTAAAGACAGAGAGCTACATCTCCATACCAATGTTTGAGTACAATACTTGTAATGTGAACAAGTGACAGTTGAATTGAATTTCCCACACACATACACACACAATAATAGAAGCTAGTTTAAAGTGCATTAAAGTCGGTTAAAGGAAGTGATTCAAATATATACGCAACTAGTGAAACATGATCATGGCGACGTTCTGCATGATTAGTTTTACCTTGCTCTGAAGTATATTAAAATAATCAGTAGTAATTTACATTTATTTCCATTAATCTGAAATCAGTCTAGAAATCTACACTGCACTAAGCGTAGAGAACACGATTCAGATTTGTGAACGCTAATGTCAAATCGGAGATTTGTTCCATCACCAAACACACAATTCAAACAGGCTACTACTGTAGACTTTTATCAACAGTTGCCTTCACTGACTCCATCCACACTGAAGATGAGATAACTGGCCAGAGGGAATTAGCAACAAGAAACTCTAGAAAAAAAACCAACAAAGACCCTAATGCCCAACAAATATGCTGTATAAAATCGAGACGAATCGGGGACATATTGAAGAGACCGCACCCTATGCCAGTGCCCCAGTGGGACCCAAAAGCGAAACGGTGACTTTATGCGTGAGTCCGAGGATGACACAGTTGAGATCGCATGAGTAGGAGATGATGAAATCTTGTGGGTAATCGACGAATAGTCAGCGGACAGGATGAAATGGAGATGTACTATTGAAGTCGTATGTTCTACCCGGAATTGATTGAAATAATTAATAATCAATGATAATAATTCACACTTTTTACAAAGTATTATTATTTCAGGCATAAACTTAGTATGCCGTAAACCGACACACCACCACCACCCCCCACATTTTCGGACTTATGGCGCAAATAAGCCATTGAAAAAAGAAGGTTAAGCCATGTCTCTCTCCACGCGATGAATTAAGCACTGAAACTCTCAGAAAGAAAATGACATACAGCTTGAGATTCTGTGTACTAACATATCAAGGCATCGATTCTTTTAACTAGTACATTTCAGTGTATCTGTATCACAACTAACGGTCAACTATACACAACATGACTAATAATGAGCTTATCATTCGAGGCGTGTGTGTGTGTGAGCGAGTGTACAAAACAAAGCCAAAAGTTGAGATGCTTCAGACTGATGAATACTGATCATAGTAAGCCATATTCACAGTAGACATCATGAAAGATAAAACTCATATAACTAAAAGAAAGATACGAAAAAGAAAACACACAAAGAAACAGAAAACAAGAAGAGGCAGTAAATAAACAGACAATGCTATCACAGTAGTAGCAGTAGTGAATCATCACATCATCATCAGTCAGAAATCGGTTAGTAGTATACAAGCAAAACAAGTAAACACAAGCGGACAAAATGCACTGCTGAGATGAACAACAACCAAACAACCAACCAACAAACAAACAACAGTAATGTAGAAAAACACACTGATAGGACAGACTACTGACACGTGTATTGAATAAAATATTATATCTGTGGTAGTGAAACTAGAAAAAGCTCAAATGTGTCAGACAAATAGGACGGACGTGGTTCGCCTCTCAATCAACCTTCACAAATAAGCAGGTCACAATATTAATATATAAGAAATAAGAAAGAGAAAAGGAACTGAATTTCCAGACGTTTCTCTCCTTCTTCTTCTTCTTCCTGTTTTTCTTCGCCCTCTTGTCCTTTCTGCTGTTTTGTTAAATCTTGTTTACTGATTATTGTTTCTTTTGTTTATTCACATCAAAATTCTTTACTTGTCCAGAAATGCATAAACAAGGTCAGACTGCTGGTTGTTGGATCCATACTGTCTTAAGCGCGTGAATCACCCATGTTAGTAGGGGCTAGCAGACATTCGACCTCTCTCTCTCTTACATACACAAATACAGGCGAAGAAAAACTATGCGGTAGACCTTGACCTAACCCAGTAAGACTGAAAAAAGTGGTGGCAAACACTAGTAGTAGTAGTGTATTTATGGCCTTTTGGAATATAAAAAATATGAGAGCTAATAAACAATGGATAACCCATCACAGCGTAGAAGAAAGTGTTTCCGAACATGAAACGACTATCATGTCCATAATTTAGATGAAGGTCATCAAGAAATAATTCGCAGCGAAATGTACTACTTAAAAGAGGCAGTGAGTAGTTTTATGAGTGAAACATAAGCCTTCTCAACAACATATGATCATTTCATTCCGTTCTCCACAGTCCTCTTTAGCTGGCTTCACGACTAGACATAATCTCTCACCTACCACCTCGCCCCTGTCTTCTTACATATTCACTTGAAGTTCTGTCCTCGCTGCATGCTTCGTCTGTCAACCTATCGCTGGATCTTCGAGATATAAAACACGTGCAACGTCCAAATCTTATTAAGTCTTCTTGTCGGTTCAAAATATCCCTGTCTTCTCTCTCTGTTTCTCTCCCTCCACAGTCTCCACAGTCCACAGTCATCCCAAAACAATTAGGAATATAATTGATGATAGCAGACAGTCTTGTCTTACTCCTGTATTCACTTCGAACGCCTCGCTGAGTTTCGCGTTGTAGATCACTTGAAATGTAGCATTGTCATATAGCTGTTGAATGACATGACAAAATACAGAGTCTTCTGAACACCTTGAGTGGCAGCAATCTGCGAATGTTTGGCATGAGATTGGCTCCCGCAAAATGTAAGATAATGAGGCCACAGGACTGGAATGGACTACATTGACTCCTAGTTTAGAAGTAGGGAGTGAAGTGGTAGAGCACTTATTTGGGAAGTACCATCAGCCAGTGGCAACGAGTTGATCTCTGACGAAATCTCAGCACGGATACAGAAGGCTAGTTTCGCATATGCCAGTTTACGCCATCTCTAGCGTAGACGCGATATTCGGCTGGTAGTCGACCAAAGGACGTGTGCACTCTTCATCAGTCCGCTTCACCCTCCTTTATGGCTGTGAGACATGGATATTGAGTGGAAGACATGAAAAGACTAGCTGTCTTTGATCATAGGTGCCTGCGTTCTATCTCCCGTCTGAAGTGGTATAATAGGGTGAACAATATTGAAGTTAGGCGTCGAGTGCTAGGTAAGGAGGGGAAATCAATAGACGAGGCTGTGAAGTTACACCGATTGAGATGGTTAAGACATGTGTTACGTGTATGCCTAATCATCACCTTCCTCGACAATGGGCAATGTTAGCTGACATAGGGTCAGGTTGGAAAAGTTAGCTAGTGTTGATCAAACCAAAACATGGCTTCATCAGTCAATGAAATCCACAACAGTTAGTTTAAGTCAGCTGAGTAGGGAGATGTAAACTGGCTTCTTGGTTGGGGTCCTCTGGATGGTAAAAACCAATGGCGGCTGGAGACAATCAGTGATATAGCTCAAACTCATCGTTCTCAATGGCTGGCTCAGATGCATCCACTTCTTGTGACTTATAAGACCCAATGAAACTATGCTGTTCTTCGATATTACTATTCCTTTTGCCTCATATCTCTGTTTACTGCCTCTATTTTGCATTTCTTTTTACTTTCTGGTTTTGCTTTGTGTGCTGAGTGAAGTGTGGCAACTCGAACTGCTGCATATCTGCGTTGCAACCATCTGTTGAAGTAGTTTCCAAATAACTACCAGGTCATTACTGTTGAAAGCCTTTTCAAAGTCAATGAAGTTGAGGTAGATATTTGACTGCCATTCTATGCTCTGTCCAATGATATTGCATAGAGTTGCAATTTACTCAGCACATGATTTGCTTTTCGTGAACCCAGCTTGTTCAGAGAGGAGTTCTGCATCCAGAGCATCTTTTACTTTCATCACGATGATAGTAATTGATATTTGTGTGCGGGTTAATGATACTATCTGGCCTACGAATCACTAAGTCGTCTACTGTGACATGTTTTAAATTTAGACCAATTGCTATTACTTCCCCTTTTCTAAAAGCTATGGAAAAGTTGCTCTTACTTAATCTTCAACCTTCACTTAAAGCCTTTAACGATCCCAAACAATTCGCCTACAAACACAGTAGAAGTACTTTAGATGCAGTTGCAGTCTTGTATCATAACATTGTCTCTGGCTTAGATAAGGGGGCTAAATTTGTTCACTGCTCCAACCTTGTGTCTCCTCAGGTAAAACAAGAAGTCTTTTCAGAAGAATTTATGCAAGTACGTCTAAGTATAAAAATTCCACTATACCATATTTAGCACGTACTTTATGTGATGAAAATAGCGTCAGAAATGAACTAACTAACCTTCTTAGCACCACTAAATAAACCATTTCCTTCACTTTTAAAGCATCATACTTTATTGTTATTGTACTTCTTATATTATAATCCTCTCAATTTTTTCGTTTTATTTTTTTCATAAGTGTGGTCATAATTTTAAGCTGTATTATGACTGTTAAATTTGTATTTCCCCTCACTATACTATATCAAGAGGACATTAGATCCAATAATCTATAACATGCTAAAGTTTCCAAACTGAATCGACAATACCGTTTGAAACAAACTAACTTATTATTATTATTATATCTGATAATTATGTCGTAAATGTGGACAAATTCCTCCGATTAATTTTGTTTTAATTTTAAATTTTATATATATTTTGAGTAAATCAGATGCAATTATTGTGACAAATACTGAGAATTCCATTTTGTATTATAAGTACTGTTTTTGGAATAAAGTAGATTATTATTATTATTAAAGTTGAGACAGGGTTCGAAGCCGTAACCCGATGGTTGGAAGCCAAGAGCTTATGTAGCAATGAATCACAACTCTATCGTTAATTAATGTTATGCATAAATATAAAACGATGAAACACTGATGCACACGCTAAATTCACAATATTATGATAAAATATTGATTACCTGTTCAATAGCTGTGGAGTTTTTGATAGATTTCTTCGGTAGAAAAGTTGACGCCAATGCAGATAACGGTTTTTCTATAAACAAGAGAAGGTTGATCGAAATGAGTAAAAACATATTTTGTAAAAACATAGAAGGTGGATACACCTATACATTTTCTGTAGGAATTGAATAGCAATCAACTGTAAAATACGCTGATGACCAAGTTGAGAGTAAGTAAACGTTGTGGTGTATTAAGTCTTGCCGTTAAATATCGAACGTCAATCAGCAAAATATCCTGTTTCACCTAAATTATTTCCTTAATGACAGTCATCAACAAAACTTTTTTGTAGTATTCAAGAAACGCATTTTCGCATGAAGATACTGTGGCTAACATCATATAAGTTAGTGTAGAGCTGCGCACAAGGGTGTCAGTTCCATTCGATACATTTCGAAATGGTAGACAATAAGGGAACGGAAGCGTAACAACAAAGTAAAATAGATAAACTTAATCTGAACTGATTGATGCAGACAGACTAATACCGACCAGAGAACTTCAAACATGGCGAGGAGCTCTAATGGTATACTGACTCAAAGTGTTCGTAACAACAGTAAACAACAGTAAGAGACGAAGAAGGAAACAAGTCTTAAAAACCTATGGCAAATTAAATGATATATTCGATTGTGGTGGATAAGACATGTGGCACACATTCTGAGCCACAGTCATTCCCGATGACTACTCCTAAATAAAATAGGGCTGGGTTAGTGATAAGAGATCAAAAGGTGGCAACAATCCATGAAATTCTGAGCCACACACAGAAGTGTGTACTGTTTGCCTGGGCGTATTAAGAACCCGTACATGAGGATGGTTAGTGATATGACTCGAAATCGTTTGCAATGGTGTAGACGTTTTCACTGTTTGTAGACAACCTGACAATCATTATTGATCTTCATGCAATTATTCTCTCTCCCATCCGTTATGGTTTCATCGCATTTTTTTTACTTGTATAAGTGCTTTTCCAAAGTACAGCAACTTAACAGACTGCAATTTTCTACGCTAACAAGTCAGTCAACCGTTAGATAAATATGGGTGTGACGAAGATAAGTGAAATGACAAGTAGAAAATACGTCTGAGCCATTCTGAGCCATATCACTGAATATCCCCAACCGTCCATTCTTAACACATCTCGAAGATCCAAGATAGATAGATCATATTTACAATTCTTAACGTGGATTAAGTTTATGCGCCACCTTTTGGATTAGACCATCTCTAAATCATTTTCCAGCCTAATCTTAATTCAGTTGAATTTACTGATTGAAGTAGACAGTTGTTCTGTATGCAGAGCATTTGTCCTAGCCTCATCGTCAATGGATGAAGCATGTTGATTGACTTATCTTCCTCATCTAACACACTTAATATGTAATCTTAGCACTGCTACATCATCATTGTTGTTGTTGTACCTACCATGAGCAGCTGAACAAACAACCTCCAATTTTCTGTAGAATGTTTAGCGGACTCATGAATTTTCAGCGAATTCATGTAACAACATGGTTAGTTAAGCTATACACACATACATTAAGTTCATTAAAAGTGATAATCAATCCTGAGATCTCTAAAAGATGACGAATTCTGAAACAGTTTAATGACCCACACCACTCCTAAAAAGCTAAATAAAGACATTATATTCTAAATAAATATTTCAAAAAAGTCTAACTAAGAATCATCTATTGTCATATCTAATTACTTCTAGTTGTGACTATTATATTTAAACGCAGAAAAAAACTTGGTACAATATGGCACCAAGAAAGATGCGCCACACAATAATAATAAAACAACATAGATTAAAAGTAAAATATATAAGTAGAGAACGGATAAAGAACTTCATCTGGAAGGAAAACAGTCATACTTAACAAGTTCAAACAGTATTCGTCAACTATCATCGAGAAGGGAAGAAAGAAGGAAATTGCAACACGTTCGCTATTGATTACGATTCTTGGCCATATCCGATAACGTTTCGAGCCATCGATTCCGGCTATCTCGCGGACCCCAACCAGAGAGTCGTGACGCACCAACCGATGCTAATCTAGCACAAACATCCTTCATCCCACGACGCCACGTCATGGACTGACCAACCCTCCACCTTTTCCATCCCGTCCCAGGGCTAGCGAACAGAGACCTGTACGGAAGCCTCTGATATGACATTCGCAGCACATGTCCAAGCCATCGGAGCCGGTGTTTCCAGATGACGACACTCAGTGAATGGTGATCTCCACTGTGTTCAAACACACGCCGCCGAACCTCAGAATTACTCACGCGATGATGCCATCGAACGCAAGCAATCCTGCGGAGACAGCGATGATCGAACACACAGAGCCGCCACACATCCTCAGCTCGGAGAGGCCAGGTTTCACAGGCGTAGAGCAAGACAGTCCGCACCGAAGCATTGTATACCCGACCTTTGACAGCCAGGCTAACGTTGCGACGGCGCCAGAGGTGGCTCAAGTTGATGTATGCCACCCTAGCCTTCATGATACGGTTGAAAATCTCATCCGTCACCCCTCCATCAGCACTCACACAACTACCCAGATACACAAACTTATCAACAACTTCAAGCGGTTCACCCGCAAGAGTGAGTGCAGGTACAGTCTCCTGCCAATCTTGTAACAGTACTTTGCACTTAGACGGCGCAAAGTACATACCATACTTACAGACACTGACTAATGAAGGTCTGTTACCTTGTATTCTTCTTACTCAAGAAATTCATCTCATATCTACAGCTGAAGGACTATATGGACTGACTGTTGAACCTTAAGATAATCAAAACAACAATAGAATAACATAACTTGGATTACAACTGGAGTTTTAGAAACACAGCGAATTTCCACAGATTACAATTCTATTGGCTTCAGCTAGCTTCTTACACTACTACTGACGACTACTGATTTCTTTATGCTAGGAAGAGAAAGTGAAATTTTAATGAATTTATTTATACAACAAACTGAAGAGTGTAAATTAGATTTAAGTAAGATAGGCCACTTCTGGGAAATTATTTCATTCCAATGTTGTTGTTGTTTTTTTTTAATTGACTCCATACTCTGAAATTTATCCTATGAGATAGGAAATTCATAGACGTCTGAGCATGTCAGAGTTACCATTTAGAAGTGACAATACGAATTCAGTGTTATTGGAAATACACAGAATCTCTAGGAAGGGAAAAAGCGCTGCTGCACCGCTGTATAGTTGCGGCGAGTGCTACTTATAATCAGATATAAGTAGTATATCAGTGAACGAATTCAGAAAAGTAACAATTTGTTTTGGGGTACTGGAAAAAGGCAATCGAAGAAGAGAACTGTGAGAAGAACGTTACAACACTGTGCAAAATCCAACAAGCTATCGAATATGGTGATATTCGACCAATTTGCAAATGATGTGCAAATAAAGACCTAAAGATAAGGGTATACCAAATTTATGTACCTATAATGCGTTTGTCCTAATAAACATTGCCTTCGAAGCTCATTGGTCTTTTCTTACTTACAAAGTTAGCGTTACAGTTTCCAATTTCCCATATTTGATCACTAATCCCTCGTATGTACACTCGTCGGATAATCGGATATCAAAGAACAGCTCAAATAAGTTACCAAAGTGAATAAACTCGATAAAGTAAAATTTATACTCGTTTGTAAACGCAAATATCAAATATAAAATGGACAATCAAATTTATTTATTTTGCATTTTAATTCTTTGAGTTTCGATTGAAACACATCGGACTTCAAGATTCAGCTTCGTGGTGTTTATTTCTTACCGGGTGGGGTCGCTAGCCTCACGTTCAACCTTCCGCCCTTCTTTATCGAGAGCTTACTAACACCAGATAAGCGAGGTTTAGCAATGCGTTGGTCGGTGATCTAACACCTGATCACGTACGGCGTAGTTGGCGGGTAGGTAATTCTACCGATGAATCACCCAACATGCAGACAATCAAATAATCAGCATTAACAACTCACCGTTTTGAGATACTTCCATAGTAGTAGACACATCATGTACAGTAGTTGTCGACAATGCAAAATTATGAGAATATTCATGAGGAAGAGCATATTTGAATTCGCCTATTGTTGAATGATCTAGACCTTCTCTATTGTCTCCTTGATTTGCATTCGGTTGACCAGATGATTCGTCGGATGTCAGTGGCTAATTCAATAATTACACACAAATGTGTTGATAATATTGTTTTGTTTTTTTTAGAAAAATGGAGAAAAGAAGATTGGTAAATGAAGATAAGATATCAGTAAACTCGTGTTGATTGATGACAACATTTCAACACAAATACAAAAAGCTACTACTGTGTAGCACTTAGTCACTTTCGTTATCTCCAGTGTAGACTTGATATGCAAGCTATCAACCGAAGGATGTGTCTACTGTGCAGCAGTTTACTTCATCTTTCTTTACGGCTGTGAGATATGACCACTGACAGCGGAAGATATGCAAAAGGTTACCAGTCTTTGACCACATGTGTCTCCTTTCTATCTCACGAATGGTAAGTGGTAAAATATAGTGAGCATTATTGAAGTTAGGTTAGTGTTAGGTAAAAAGGGTTATTGAATGACTGAATTTCAACATAGAACTTCACACAGAAGTATAAAATGTGAAGGAGAAGGATAAGAGCATAGGAAAACAAGACCGTCTAATATAGATGTAGGGGATCACAGAATGTGAATGTATCTGGACCATTGAGAACGATTTTGAACTAAATCACCAATAGTCTCAAGACAGTGGTTATTAGAATCTCGAGAACCATAAACAGGCAGTCGACACGTCCCTACGTGGCTCCTTGAAACCCAACTCTCAATGACTTCAGGTTTCAGTTTGACCAACCCAAACATTTCCCATCTAATTTAATGTCGGCTAATATTGCTCGTCAACTAAAGGCGATGGCTCGGCATACAAAACATGCCAATCGATGTAGCTTCACAACCGTAAAGAGGGTAACCCAACCAATATGAAGGTGGACCGATTGATACGGCCAGAACACGTGTTGCGCATACCGATGAATCGCCCTCCTCAAAAGGCAATGTTAGCCGACATAGGATTATGTTGGAATCAGTTGATAAAGTCTCGGACAACTAGTTTGAGATAGACAGACAGACAGGTGGGACTGACTGATTGAGGTCTTCCGGATTCTAAGAACCATTTGCTGAAGACTGTTAGTGATATTTTTAAAATCTTCCTCAATGACGCAGATGCAATCACTCCTTGGTAATCTCTCATATTCACAAAATCCTCATGTTTTTCTTTGCTACACTATTCTTTTTGCCACGCATTTGTGGCTATTAATATGGTTCTTTGGAATTTCTTTTTCTTTCTTCAATACCTTTGTGTGCTATATGGAATGTAACAACTTGAAATACTGCACATCTGTGCAAAGTTCTGCGTTGAAACTCAGTGAGTCAGTCAATCAGAAAATGAAATGATAATCTTGTTATCAGTTGTATCTCCCTTAGTTAGGCTTGTTTAATTCGAAGGTTATCACTAACATTTGACTAAATTAGCGCCAATTCTAAATTATTTTGTAAGAGACAAAAATTTCATAAAACAGATTCAAAACTGTTAAGCAGAGTAGGTTTATTTCCAAGAGTTAGTTTGTAGGGATTCAATTAATTGTTTGGAAAATTGATGTTAGTTAGAGAACCACTGAAAAACAGGAAGTACTGGAATGTTGTTTCGTCCTAGTTTAAGACTCTTCACAGTACACACACACGGGGATTCAAAACTAGAACCTTCCAGTTACAAGGAAAGCTCGTCGACCATTCAGCCACTAGGAATGCACCCTATTGCGCATAAGATCCAACTTCGACCAATTCAAGATTTTAATGTGATCACTAGCCAATGGCGTCGGTGAGTATTTATCCTCATGTCCAACATGGTGGACCTCAACGGTCACGAATTCCCAAGAGAAACTACCGGAAACTTCTTCCTGTAACCGGTCGTTCGCGAACCGTGGGTTAATTTCAAAGAGTCAGTTTGTAAGAATTTGATTTATTTCAAGTTTGACTATGGGATGACATCAGTTAGAGAACCAATGGAAAAACTGGGGGAGTACTGGACAGCTCTTTCGACCTAGTTTTGGACTCTTCATCAGTACCCATCCATCAGGGCTCAAAATTTTATTTCGATGAAATCACAGTGTTATACAGTCATATTTACTGATGACCATCTTTCGAACACCATTCATTGTTGCTCATAATAATATCCAGGCAATACTCACATAACTTTCTTGCTTCATTTATGTACATAATTAAAAATTGATGATTAGACATTTGAATAAAATCAATATATGACTTGCGCGACACATAAGGTAAAGTACATTCGGAAAAAATATTAATGTTGCCAATATAATACAATAGGATGGGAAATAAGACAAGTGTTGTTAATATTAGATGGTTGGAGGCAATCGGTAGGAGGCCTTGGACCTAGGTTTCGTGCTATTTGGCACTCACCAGTTAGCAAGCTTGAACGAAATCATGTCCCTTCTGAGATTCAAACCTGCGTCACCTAGTGAGCGCTGCCGTCAGAGACTTTACCACTGAGCTATTCGGGCTCGCGACTGACCTCTTGTGGGACTGTAGTGGATACTTTGACTGGACACTAGTGTGATGTGTTAGTCCTTTCTTTGGCGCAGACTGAATTCTATCAGTAGGTTCTATGTGGCCAATTCTAGGTAGCTCGCTATCACGGTGCACATTGATTTGATGATATTAGATAGTTGGGGGCAATCGGCAGGAAGCCTTGGACCTAGGTTTCGTGCCTCCAACCATCTAATATCATCAAATCAATGTGCACCATGATAGCGAGCTACCTAGAATGGTGGCCACATTGCAAACCTGACTGATAGAATTCAGTCTGCACCAAAGAAAAGACTAGACACATCACACTAGTTACTAGTATCCAATCAAAGTACAAGTGTTGTTAGTCAACAAAATGGGAAATAAGATGTTTTTATGGTAAAATAAATAAATAACTTGTTAGAATGTTATAATGTGAATTGAGTATATTTTAGCATTATTTATAATCCTCTAATTTGACTGGTAGTAATATCTTCGATATCTCTGGTATTTGCGTTGAGTCATTTCTATTGCATGTGTTGGGTGTAGATCCTATGAACAAAGAAAGATTCAGTAATCAACCTCTATCTCCATTTATCGATTTTACTTTTTAGAACTATAAATCTGTCACACTCTATTGTGTAGTTGCGTGTCAATGCATGCAGTGCGATTGCTGAGTTTTTCTCTAAATTACTTATCTTCGTGGGATCAATCATTCTAACCTTCGCTAAATTCCTATGTTCTGATAATCTCACTAGGCCCGATCTACTAGTTTAACCTATGTAGTTGACTTAACTCACAGTCATTGCAGGGTATTTTGTAAATTATATTATTTTGTTTAATTGAGTCCAGCAGGTCGTTTAGCCTACAGAGCTTGCCCCTGAGTAGTGAGCTCGTAGGTTTAAATTCCATTCTAATTCTTACTTTATTAAGAATCCTACATAGGGTTTCAGATGTCCTCTCCTCATATGGTAAAACTGTAGATGCCTTATATTCTCTCTTATTTATGTTATCATTATTAGTTTCACCATTATTTTTATTTTGCTTTTGACCTTTTCTGATCTTCCTAATGAATTTTATAGGATAGTTGGTTATTTAACACCAACGCCTCTTCTATCTGTTTCATTTCATCGTTTAGGTTTTTTTGTTGTACTACTTAGTACTATTGCTCGGTTTATTAGACAAATAAGTAAGCCTGTCTTCACAGACAACGACGGACGAGATGAATTAAAAACATCTACTCCCACCAGCAATCAAATGATGCGTTGATGATTCAAAGTGTGTCTGAATTTCTTCGCCTGTCAGAATCCATCCAACTAATTGTCTAGCAGTTGAATGTCATTAGAGGCATCAAAGTAGTCGTAAATGCTATGTATATGCTGCTTCCATATTATAGGGT